TTCGTCCTTTCGGGATCGTTCTGTCAATTTACTGGGCTTGTTTTTCTACATTTTGTAGGCTAAACATTTTCAAGTCGATATATTTAAGTTACTTGTTGTGTCCGAAAAGTAATTGTATTGCCGGAAAGCCTTTTCTGGACCTGTGGATTTTCTCCCCCGCACAGAAAGTGCAAGTATAGAATTATTTGTTATCTATCTTTTGTTTTGTTTGTGGAAAAGATTTTATTTGCTAAAAACAATAACCTAATTTTGTCTTTAGGGCATGAGTGATTTAATCTCCACGATCTAGGTCCTGCTTCTTCCGCTGTCAATCACTCCACTGAGACGCAGAACACATATAAGAAACTTCAAAAAAAGAAATACGCTCATTTTCGAGCGAGTTTCCTTTAAGTTTATACTCCGATTTTTGGGGTATATAGGAAGTACAGCCAGACAGCATAATTAATAAGACTGAGCGAAGTTTCGCATATGTAAACTGTTTGTGCCGAGAAGAAAGGTCACACCCACTTTTTTACAGTATTCTGATCACACAATATGAGAATGATCCCAGCTGTCACAACGATTGCACAAAATAGTTTCTCATCGATGTACATTGTATTCAGTATGATTCCTACTACATATATTTGTAATCTCTTCCTTCACTTGCAACTGCAGCAAACACATTAAAGTCAAATTCGCATGAATTTATATTTATGGCCAATTTCTAACAGAATTTGGCAAAACGGTCAAATTCTTATGGAAGTTTGATTTCTGGCCAAATTCCAAATTCCGTTTGTCCAATTTCTAGTAAGTCAAAAAATTGGGTCGTTTATCCTTGGGTGGAGTCATTAAATTTTATTAAGACTTTAAACGATAAGGTCTTATATTATCTTATTGAAATCTTAGAGGATAAGATTTTATAAGATCTTAGTAGGATAATTTAATGAAGTGTCTAAGATGTGTACTACGGATATGTATTTATGGCCGACATGACATCAGAAATAAACTAGTTAATAAAATTATATTCTAATTGGTTTTTGTAAGCAGTCAGTCTAGTTAAGAGATCTTGGTAGGAATGGTCGAGATAAAACCAATATGAGATTCACTCAGGGAGGAAAATAGATTGAGTCATGTGCTCAAGAAGATCCTGCCGGCATATTTCTGTCGCGATGTTGAACTATCTTCTTCACTCTATTTGTAAAAAGTTAACAGCGAGCTGTGATAATGCTAGTAGAAGAAATTTGAGAATGTTTATCCGTAAATACTGAACGCTAATATCAGTTCATTGCTAGAGCCAATCTGGCATCCTGTGAATGAGGTGGAATGACTGAGCCCCAATCCTCTGTGCGTCAAGCAGAACCACATTGGTACTCACTACATCATGAAAGTCACCAACGACAAAGCGATCTTACACCGAGGATACTCATGATTGCGATGACATCAACCTTTGATGCATTTCTCAGTTTAGCGCATTTTTATTTTGAGACCTGGCGAAGTTAACATACTTAACGAAGCTGCACATAGTAGAAGTTCATATATTTTGAGAAAAAGAGCGCCCCGTTTTGATATCCAAAATAGTTAAACAAAAAGATTTCAACTTTGTGTCAACCAAAGTGGAAAGAATTTATGTTTCTATACTCTCTCGCTCCTTTTTTTATATAATTCTTAGCCTTTCTTAGACTAAGAATTTTTAGATGAAGTCTTTGTTGAAGTCTGTTAGTCTAACAATGATGTGCTGTTACCGAGTAGAGGAGCAATAAATCGTGAGTTTTGTTTTTCGTATATCTTCTTACTATTAGTGCTAGAGAGCCAATTCAAGCGAAAGTCAATTTGAAAGAGCAGATATTTTTGAACATTACCACATATAAAAATAACTACTACACAAGACTGTTCAAGCGTTGTAAAAATGATTTTCCTTCTCTGCGGATTTGAATAGAAAATTGAATTTATTTAAGAGTATTCCTTGCCCTCTATTTATTAAGATGTCGATTTTCGAGTTAGATGTGGCACAATATACAGTTAAGAGTCTTCTATATAATGAGATGCGTCTCAACTCTCTGTGACGTTTCCTTTTCGAGTTATGCATTTTTTAAAATAGGTCCCTTGAGATCCGACATAGACACGATAAATTTAAACCGTTAGTGATTCATCTTAAAAAATGCATAACTCGGAAAGAAAACGTCACAGAGAGTTCAGACGCATCTCATTATATAGAGGATACTTAACTGTATATTGTACCGCATCTAACTCAAAAATTGAAATTTTGACTAAAGGAGGGCGAAGAATACTCTTAAACAAATTCAGTCTTCAAGTTTAATCCTCGTTGACGGATGGTGAAGAAAATTTTGTCTTACTGGTATCTCCGATCAATGAGTCTTTATAGTGGAAATCACATCACTATCAGATGGTTAATTCTTTGCATTTTAAAGTCTACAATTATGACCGATATAATAACAGGAATAGATCTCTAACTTGTAATGTCGTTTTTGATGAGCTAGAAACACAACAATTTAACCCTTTCGTGCCGGGTGAATTTTTTCTCAATTTTTCCTCCCCGTATATATACAGGCCCTGGCACGAATTGGATAATATGACAAAAGATTGTTTTTTATAAAACCTGAGCGGTCTCTAAATTAACTATTTTTATAAAGGGTGTTCCACAAGTTCTGAAACGATTTCTAGAACAATAAATTTACAAATCGTTTCAGAAGAAGAAATTCCTTACTATACCAAACGATAGACAATTTAATTTCTTCTAAAATTTAAAAACGGAGTCGAATGATGTATATTTCGAATTTTAGTTGCTTTTCAGTTTTTGACGCAATACCGGTTCAACGTGAAAATTCGAAAAAAATGAAAGTAGTCAGATAGCACAGGAATACACATCATTCGTCTCCGTTTTTTATCCTGATTCCGAATATAGTACTTTTATTGCTCAGATATTGAGTCATCATGCAGAAAATTGAGAATTATGGATAGAATTCCGACTTTTTCGGCTCTGATTTAGAAAAAAATGAATTTTCTCAGCAACGAAACAAAATTTTAAAAGAAGCGAGTTGTACTTTTAAAGCTGAGGTGTCAGCGAATCTAATGATATGCAGACGATGGCTGTAGTCCTTGAAACTACTATTGGCGCCAAAATATAGTGCGACTGACTGTTTTTTGAATAACTTTTTATAGGAATGAGATAGAGACCTGCGATTTTCACTATTCGATAGCCAAGACTTGAGCGGAACTTTTCGCAAGCGGAAAAAACTTTTGAAAAAATTTCAAAAATCGGGTATCCAGAGGATCTTTGGAAAACCAGCTCCGTTCTCAGAAAACTAACATACAATGTTAGTAATTTTTTTGCATGCGTAAATAGTTCGGACCAATCCATTTTCAACAGAGCTGTCGAAAAATGGATTGGCGGAGCTTATTAGAGAGTTGTTTGGAAATGGCTGTACAAATGAAATCGTGATAGTTCAAACATATTGTGAAACCATCAAAAATGTAACACAGGTCAAAATTCGTCATCAACCGCATTTGCTATCCAACTTCTCAAAAATTCTCTAAATACAACTTCAACAATCTCTATCAATAGACTTTCCCGCAGCCTTGTGTTTGAACTTTTTTGTGTCATCTGTACGAGAAAAATCTTAAAACAATAGTTGCACTCGGTTCCAATTCTGGAAAGCGAAGGCTCGTGCTCAACAATGTCATCTACTAGTTGTCAAACAATAATTGCTAATCATGCCTATCTGGAAGTTCATACCTGTACAATAGGCACAACTAGTGAATATAAGAAATTTCAGCAAAATCACAACGAACCATTGGTGGTGTGGGATCACGTTTCGGTGTTAAATCACAATCTTGGAGAATGACATGCACTACAGATTCATTCACATTCTCAATGTCAACAACGCGAAATACGCTTATGGGCATGAGAAGTACTTCTTCGTTTGAAAGCCTCGATATTTTGCAGATACAGATTGCGCATGTTTCTGTATTCCAAAAATATTTCCATTTTCTTGAACTATGAAAACATAGTAAGCCAATGATTTCTTTTCCTAAGTATTGATTTGAACATTGTATCTTTGCAGTACATGATTTGTTTGTGTATCCAACAAATTCTTACCAGATTATTAAAAACTTACGTCAAAAACTGAAAAATAAGACAGATTTATTTGAAGTTATCTCTTTACTGCTATAGACTGTTAACATTTCCGTGATTAGCATAGATAGAAAATGGCCGTTCTGTTTGTGAGCATCTTTTGTTTGTGATATTCAAATTGTCAAAGACTTTCAGCTGATCTTCATGTTTGAATCTCCTGAAAGTCTGTGATATGTAGCGATGACAGTCTTGATCTAATCCAGTTATCTGTGAAATATCAATCTTTGGAAATAAATAATAACTGGAAAGTTGGGAAACGTTATGACTTTCTTTTGTCGATCTTGAGGTATAGTGATTAGAATCAAACCTAAATCAGAACACCGAAGTTTTCGAATCTAACACGGAAATGACAAATACCTTTTTCAATTGTATTACTAATCATAGTGCCTTCAGATGACTGCAGATGAAATGCTAAATTCGTTCGATACAATACGACCAGAAAAAAGGACTGATCATGCATGCATTCGACCGAAAATAGGGAAAATTCTTAACCTCTATTTCTCTTTGCTCCTTTTCAAGCGATGTCCGGTACATATTTAGTTGCTACTACGCATACCTTTGCTATTCGACGGTACAGACACAATTGATTTTCGGTAGTATTTTCTTGTGGACAGCAATTGAATGTCGAAGTACTGTGTGAGAGTGGGTGTGGATCGTCCTTTCTTAACCCTTTTGGGATCGGTAGAATTTTGAGAAAATTCGTTTTTTAAATTTTTTTGGTTTTTACAACACATGAAAAGAGTTTGAAATCTATTTAAAAACGGTTTAAAGTATGAAATTTTCTAAAACAATGATCAATACATACAGCAATATCATATTTCACACATTCGTATCCAATATGTGTACGCTTTTTTAGTCTAACGAGGGTATGTGGGTATGTGAGGAATAAGATGACACTATCACCTTCATCCTTAAAGTAAAAGCCATCTGATGGTTTTCTTCGCCGAGATGAAATCGCGAGGATGGTTACTAGACTGATATCCTCACCCTCATCGCAGAACGAGAAAGATAGATAGCGGATAATTGAATGGCTACTGTTTTTTTCGTTCTTGATGTCTCTCTCAACATGGCCTTGTGGCCTACAAGACAGGTGAGATAAACGGTAGTGTCTTATCTAAATAGTGCAAGTAACAAAATAGAATAAGAGAAAGTATCAAAGTCATTTTTATTTGATATTTATTGTTGAAAAAAGGTAAATGAAGACAATTCTACTCTTAATTCTCTATAGAAAGTTGAATACTTCAGAAAATTTGTTTTTATTTAAATCATAATCCCATTCTCCTAACCATCGCTCGCAGCCTAACTAATCACTTCAAGGTGAATCTACTATCTCCGTTAATGTCGGACTTGAATATTATAGTTTCAGATTTTTATCTGGTATAATTTATGGACATAAACATGAAAATAAAGATTATAATACGGGAACTGAAAAAGTATAGCTTGATTCTGATCAGATTCGTGAAGAACAAAACGTATTAGTCATATCCAATGACACTGATAATAAACAACAACTCAAACGATCGATCACCTGGTTAAATGCATTTTGGATATCGAGTGGTGTACCTGCTCTTGTTCTATTTTCTATTGGTGCTGTCGCTGGAACTGTTGGGAATCCATCTTGGTTCGTTTGGACACTTTCAATCATTATTGGTTTTTTACAATCATTTGTTTATGCCGAAATTGCAGGATTATTTCCAAATAAATCTGGTGGTGGGTCAGTTTACGGAGCCATTGCTTGATTACGTTATGGAAAAGTATTAGCCCCGATTTCTGTTTGGTTGGTCACCTGTATTAGTCATTGGAACTGGCTTAAGTGCTGGATACATTCTAAGTATGTTTGATTCTAATGCATTGGTGAATACCTGGCAATTAAAACTTATTAGCCTTAATTTCATTAAAACAGATTTGTCGTTAAGAATCAACTCCACTTTTGTTATCGGAGCAATATTGATGTTAATTGTCTTTGCTATACAACATCATGGTATTCTTTCAGCTGCTCGTATTCAGATGGTCTTTGCTATCTCGTCATTACTACCATTAATCATGTTAGGTATAGTACCGCTCTTCATCGGTAAAGTACATAGTAACAACTTCGTTCCATTTGCTCCACTTTTACGTGATGCATCAAATAATGTTACTATGGGAAGTTGGAATAGAGCAGGTTTTACATTATTTGCTGGTGGTATGTTCATTGCTGATTGGTCGACATATGCTTTTGAAACAGCTGTTTGTTATACAAGTGAATTCAAAAATCCAGGATCAGATACATTCAAGGCGATACTTTCTTCTGGTTTATTATGTCTATTCGTCTTCACTTTGATTCCCATTGTATTTCAGGGAACACTTGCTCGATTCAAACATTTACAATGGCATGGGAGTTGCCAAAGCAATAGCTGAAATGATTGGCGCTAGTACGATCATCGTCAAAGTTGTGGTTTTGCTGTTATTATTATCGCTTTTGCTCTCCACTATGACTGCTATGGCCGGTTCATCACGGACACTTTATCAAGGTTCTGTAGATGGTTGGCTTCCAAAATTCTTGTCGCATGTCAATGAACATGGTGCACCTGTAGCTGCAATGTGGACAGATTTTGTTTTTAATCTAATCCTATTACTCATGTCAGATTATGTATTTATTTTGGCAGCTTCAAATATCGAATATATTATTTTTATTTGGATGAATTTAAATGCTGTATGGATTCATCGACTGGATCGTCCACATTGGAAACGTCCATTTAAAGCACCTATTTGGTTAGTTTCAATTAGTGTTCTACTTGGTTATATGAATCTTGTATTTCTTGGTATGGGCACAGATTTATGGGGATCTGGAACACTTCTTACAGGTTTAATATTTGCCGCCTTGATCATTCCAGTATTTCTCATTCGTCATTATATCCAAGATAAAGGTCATTTTCCCACTTTGATCAAAGATGATATCAATCTTGATGAAGAAAATAGTGTAAAGAATCGTGCTGGAATACTCCCCTATCTAGCTCTTGGAATGGGTGTACTGGTCGTCATTGTATCACGCTTATTGGCAAAGTACTAATTCGTAAAACACTGACATCGTTTGCCTTTTAGTTTAGTCGAAGGATTTAACAACACCATAAATCATTTTAATATTTGTTTTAAAGCAAATTTGATTGATATTTTAATTTCTGTTGAAAACTAACATGACAAAAAAAGTTGAGTGTGATGAAGAGAATGGTTATCGTCACCATCAACCATTTCATGCTTTCTTTAGTAGAAACGATATCTCGATTATGTTCGCCGTTCTCCTACCCACACTCTTCAGATTCAATGTACAAACGGCAGGTATAACTGTCAACATGTAAGCAGAAATTGAAAAAAGCTTCACAGAACGGAATATGACGAAGAAACGTGGGAAAAAGAAAAATGATGGATCATATCTTCCCACATTCACCACGATTCAGTTTTTTTAGCAAACGTCTTTGACATATTTATTTCTGTCAAGAGTTAAGTTGTCCATTTACTCAATGACCTTCGTTCGAAAAAGCATATTCTATCATGGCAACTTGATAAGATGATACCAAAACGAGAAAATATTGCACTGACTTATTTATATTTTATTCCAAAACCACATAAAATAAATGTCATGAATTAATTTCCATGACAGTGATTTGCAAAAAAACTTGGCCTGAAATTGACTTTTCGAATCGTCGCTGTGTATCGGAAGTTCGAAAGCTATTGTACCGGTGCCCTTGACGGATAGATTGTCTAGGACTAAGGTTAAAAAAACAGCACACAGAGGCTTTCTAAGTTCGCCTTTGAATAGTTTTATTTCCATCTTCATTTTCAATGAAGCCCTTAACTAAGGTCCAAATTTCCATATTACATTTCTTGAATTTGGGCATAAGATCAGCTCTTACTATGCATCTCAACAAAGAGAGCCCACTCAAAACTATCAAATACAACCTTAGAAACTTCAAAGAAACCAAATCTTTCGAACATCGAGGTGGCAACAGTCGCTCACGTGGAATCAGTGTTCTTGAAGGAACCTCAATGGTGACTATTTCGTCGATATTCTTAAGGTTCATCTAGTACCACACGTCACGAGAGTATTCGGACGTCATTGGCGACTACAATAGGATGATGAGCTGAAGCACAGGAGTGGTATCGCGAAAAACTTCATTAGCGAGGATGTTCCGGAATTGCTCAAGTGGCCGTCGAACTCACCCGATCTGAATCTGATAGGAAACTGTTGGAATGTGATAAACCGTCGCGTAGAAAAAAGAAAGCCTGAAAATACCGATAATCTCGAGAAGCACATGAACGGAAAGGTGAGAAAAAGCGAAAAAAAGCTTCTTAATGAATTTTATTTCCTCTGTGGAAGATGGATGTTTGGCTGTTATCTCTCCGGAGGGGGAGCGAATAAAATTTTGAAATACGCTGTTTTGTAGTGCTCTTCGTGAGCTTTCAAACGCTGTCTCACTTTCTCAGAAAGATTGAAATGTAGAAGTGTTAGAGCTAAAACGGAAAGGTCAAATATTTTTGCAAAGTACTGTATATCACCCTGTATTCATCTATTCTAATAGGAAGGATCACCATCAAGACTAATTGTGCCTTCAACAAATACTCCAACAACTGGAATTTTCAAATTTCTAGATAAACTACTTCCACCATTGTTTGACAAACATGCTTGTTCAACAACCATTATCGATGGTGTCGATCTCATTCGCATGGAGATATATGTTGTAGGCCATTCCTGGATTCAGGCCAATCTAGGATCGGCCTAGGCCATTCTAAGATCTCAGTTTGGACTAGTCCAAACCAGGATTGAGTCGAATTCTGAGACAAAAACTCAGTTTTGACCCTGATGATAATTTCGATTTTTGGTGTGTTATCCGGAAACTATAGCGAAATGGGTATACTTTCCGCACAGATCGTTGAATTCTGAATGAAATTATCTATTTTAAAAGTTATAAGCATTTGTATCTCTGAATCCAGGTTCTACAGAAAACTGCGTAAATTATTTAAAATAGATAATTTCATTCAGAATTCAACGATCTGTGCGGAAAGTAT